AGAGTTGTTACTGAGACCCAAATGGCAGTCATTTTAGTTGCAAGCCATTGCAATTAACTGATGATTATTTAGAGTTGGAGGCATGGGAACCCAGGTCAAATTCTGCTCTTTTCTTTATAACTTATTCTTATCCACATTTATTAAATATATGTGATTCTCCTGTGAGACTACACAAGTACAGGCATCAACAATTTCTGAGTACTGAGTACGTCTCTGCATTTCTGTCCATGTATGACAGAGATGTTTATTCCATGTTTTGTACATACAGAGGATGTGCCAAAGCAAAGGAAAATATTGGCCTGATGACCTGAGTTTTACTCAATGAGATTTCTATCAATTGTGACCCATGTTTGGCTGATAAACAGCCCCTGAAGTTCCCTCTGCCTGGAATGTTCTCCCAGCCTGTGAGGAGTTTAGGTCTCTGCCTAACTCTTCCCCTATTGCAGGTCTACCTTGACACCCTGTAGGAAGGCACTACCACCCTCCCAACCCCATCACACTCCATGCCACCTCCTCTCCTTTGTTAAATAGGGACTCCCAGTACTGTTGTGTCACCAGCAGTTAGGGTACCTTGCACAAGCAGGTGCTCGTAAATATCTGTTGAATAGAAGAATAAATTCATTTTGGTTTTTTTGGTAAACTCAGATTTATAATCTGGAAGAAACAATTCTTCCTCATTGTATTTCTTGCCTCAGGGGAAGTCAGACCAACCATCCGTGTGACATTCTGATTCATGGAGCGGTGCACACATTTGTGCCGCCTTCTGTAGGTCCTTGGTTCCTCAGTGCACATATGTACAAGTTGATTCATAGGCAAGTGCCTATTAAAATGTACATTTGAATAAGTAATTTATGTTGAAGGAATTGCTTTGTGGATTTAAAATGACAACTAGGTGGGTTTTTTCAGTGCTATTTTGAGATGTCACTCAGCCATGTTTTTGAAGCTGGAAATAGTAAAGGTTAAAGGGGATTATTAACCATGATTCAGGTAGTTGTTTACTATGCAGACAGAGATTACTATTCTATTGATAACCTCTATATACTCAAGTTATTAACAACTTTGATAAAGTTTTAAAAATCTGAACATTAGAGTATGAAGTATTTAAATGTCACTTGCCCACAACTACTTTTCTTTATAAAAATTTTGTAGAAGAGAATGATGCAGGAGTAGAGCAAGATAGGAACCCAAGGTATATTCTGTCTGCTCTGCAATCTTAAAGTATATGAAGAAGGGGAAGCATGTAGTTATACTCATTGTTCCACAACTTCACTCAGGCCTGGCATCATTCACACACTTTTTACTGAGCAAAGGCTTATAACCATGTACCTGGTGGGATTGTGTGAGAAGTAGTGGGGAAGCAGAGAAAGGACACGTGCATAAGCCCAGTGTGAGAACAGCTTGTGCTAAAGCTGTGTGCCTGGTACCATTGGCTCAGAGACCATGATAGGAGTTGGCTTTCTGAAGTCATGTCGGAGCTGATCTTTGAAAGAAGATATGTTGATCATAAAAAAGAAAGGCATGTCCAGATGGTGGAACAGCCATGTGCTGAAGTAATTGTGTTCAGGTAGTAATTGAGGTTTGTGGTAGGAGTTGGCTGGGAGTGGATTATGAACCCTGGAAACCAAACTTCTCAGGACGTGATATTGCAGGTGGTTAAGGTGACACTGAAGAAAATGTTAAACAAGAAAGCAGTGTAATTGAAATTATTTAATTCTGTTGGTTTTATAGAGAATGTATTGGTGGAGGACAAACTTGAAAGCAGGCATAACAAGAAACTTTTATTATCCTTTCTTTGCAGAAAATGGTAGTCCAAATGAAGAGATTTGGGGAATACAGAGCCAGGGGGCTGTGGAAGGGTGAGGTAGAACTGGGCAACAATAAGACTGAGAGCCATGAGCATGGAATGCCTTTCTTTGGGGTTTATGTAGTCTAAACCAGGAGTGTGAAACTCATTCTCACCAGGGGCCACATCAGCCTTATGGTTGCTTTCAAAGGGCCGAACGTAATGTTACGACTATATAAATCTAACTACTCCTTAACAGTTAATCGAGAGCTTGCTGCTGGCACCAGGTAGAAACAAGGTGCCGGGCCAGATAAAACAAGGTGATTCAGCCCATGGCCCTTGTGTTTGCCACCTGTTGTCTAAACAGAAAAGAGTGCAAGCCAACATATGGCTAACTGTTGAGTGTTTAATTCTGAATAATGGCTATGTGACACAAATTTTCTTTTTTTTTTTCTCCCTACGATTACATTTTCTTTGTACTGTGTTTTAAAAAACTATGAACAAAATAGAAGGCAATGTGATGGTTTTTCCCCTTTTTCTGTCTTTCCAGAAATGCCTTGCCTTGCAGAATATGATGATGGATTATGGTATAGAGCAAAGATTGTTTCCATTAAAGAATTTAATCCTGTAGCCATCCTGGTTCAATTTGTGGATTACGGGTCAACTGAAAAGCTGACAATAAACAGGTTTATAACAAAGTCAACTTACCTGAATTAGGATTCTTAGTTTTATTTGTTCTTACTAATTATTAGGAAGATTTTGAGTTTTAAAAGAAAATACCTTACAGCTGTTGATATACTGGAAATTTTTTAATGAAAGTTTTTTTTATTATGGTAGAATACACATAAAGCTTACTATTTTTAGCCATTTTTAAGTATGTTACCAGTAATAAAAAATGTTACCATTTTTATATTGTTACCAGTAATGGGCATTAAGTATATTCACACTTTGTGCAACCATTGCCACTGTCCACTTTCAGGACCTTTTCATAAATCCCAAGCAGAAACTCTGAACCCATTAAACAGTAACATTCCACTCCCTGTTCCTCAGCTCCTGGTATCACATAGTCTGCTTCTTTAAGTATAATCATACAATATTTGTTCTTTAGTGTCTGACTTACTTTACTTAATGTTATCATGGTTCATCCAATTGTTGCATGTATCAGAATCTCACCACTTTTGTGGGTAACACGTCACTTTATAGACTACATTTCGTTCATCTGCTAAACAATTCTCGTTGCTTCCCTCTGTGGACTCCTATGAATAATGCTGTTGACTCCGTGCACATGCACAGGCAGTTGTTGGAGCCCATCTTTCAGTTGCTGGAAGTGCATCCCTGGGTGTGGAATTGCTCAATCACATAGTAATTCTATGTTTAACTTTCTGATCATTTTACATTTCCCACCAGCAATGAAAAGGGTTCCACTTTCTTCACATCCTTGCCAACAGTTACTACAGGGGGTGGAGGGTTTGGTTTTATTTGTAGTATCTTTTTATATTGTGGTAAAATACCCATGTCACAAAATATGCTGTCCTAACCATTTTTAAATGTACAGTGGGGTAGTGGTAATCCTACTTAAATTGTTGTGCAACCAGTCTCCAGAAATCTTTTCACTTTGTAAAACTGAAAATCTGTACCCATTAAACAAAAATTCCCATCCCCGCTCATCCAGCCCGACAGCCGCCACCCATCTCCTGTCTGTATGAATTTGACTGTTGTAGGTCTCTGAGTATTTGATTGTTGTGCCTGGCATAATTCACTGAGCATAATGATCTTAAAGTGCATCCAAGTTGCAACTTGTGTCAAAATTTTTGTTCCTTTTTAAGGCTGAATTGTACGTGCAGTACGATTTATATATCCATTCATCCATCAATGGGCACTTGGGTTGATTCCACCTTTTGCTCTTGTGAATAATGCTGCTGTGGTAACTCCTCAAGGCCCCGCTTTCCATACTTTTGATTATGTGTGTACCCAGAAATGCAATCGCTGGGTCATAGGCTCATTCTATTTTTAGTATTTGGAGGAACCACCAAGCTGTTTTCCTTGACAGCTGTTTTCCTTTGGCAGATTAGTGGGAATTTAAAAATTCCCACTAAGTGTCCAAAGTTTCTGGTTTCTCTCCACGTCCTCACCAGCACTTTTTTTTTTGTGTGTGTGATAATGGTCATTCTACTGGGTATAAGGTGGTGTCTCATTGTAACTTTGATTTACATTTCCCGAGCTGAGAATCTTTTCATGTATGTTGGCCATTTATATCTTCTTAGTAGAAGTGTCTTTTTAATGCATATTTTTTCTCTCATTCTGTAGGTTGCCTTTTCACTCTTGTTATGCCCTTTGCAGTTTTTAGTTTGATGTAGTGCAGTTTATTTTCTTGTTGGTGCCCATGCTTTTGGTGTTACTGCCAAGAAATCACTGCCAAATCCAAACTTTTGTTTTACAGTTTTATCTGTTAGAAAATTTTAATTGTAACGTTCTGAACATTTTAATTTAAAATTTTCCTTTGTGACAGACTACGACAGATTCCTCTTCACCTTATGCAGTATCCAGCCCAAGCCATAAAGGTTCTACTGGCAGGGTTTAAACCTCCCTTAAAAGATTCAGCAAAGACAAGAATACCATATTGTCCCAAGTGGAGTATGGAAGCATTGTGGGCTATGATAGACTGTCTTCAAGGAAAACAACTTTATGCTTCTTCCATGGTAAATATTTGGCTTAATTTTCCAGAATCTTTTTGAAGTTATTTCTAGAGTCCCTATTAACTTTCTAAAATGCTTTCTGCCCATGCAACTCTAGATGCAAACATGCTTCAACTAAAGTATATAAAGCTGTAAATACTATAGGATTAATATGTCTTAGTGATGTCATGACTAAGATAAAAGTAATCAAGATAAGTCTCCTATAATCAGAGAACTTACAGGTCAGTGAGGGAAACATGTAAACCACTGATTAAAGAGGGCAACTTTGAGGAGTGCAAGAAGCAGGAGTGATGGGGATATGGCATTTGATATTCCTTCGTAGGCACTCCAGCACTTATATTAAAATAGGACGGGGAAGTGATATGTGCTCTGCATCCTAGCAGATAAATAGGAAGGGCCAGAGGGGGATTCTGGTTATAGAAAGGCTTGAATTACACTAATACCATACACTAATTTTGAATTGTTTAATGCAGAAGAACATCTATCAAAATAAGAAAGTTCAGGTGATGTTTGGTGTAAATGTGCTTTCTTCTTTAGCGGTTAGCATGTCACAAAGGGCAGCCCACAGGCAGAATCCAGCCTGCACCCATGTTTTATGTAGTGCAGTGTTCTAAAACTGGAAATTTTTACCCCCTAAAAGTCTGTACCTGTGACTTCTGATTAAGTTTATAAAATGCAGGAGCCCTTCCAACCCCTTCACTTGGAAATACTCTCTCCAATTCACCTCAGCCGCACAGTGTTGTTTCGGCCTGACCTGCCCAAGCTTTTAGGAGTCCTAGTGTATTGGCTGTGACAAGAATGAGCTCTTAATGAAACAGTGCTACTACTAGAAAGTGCTTTCTCAAAACCTCTGTATAGCTCCTGTGTGTACAGAATGGTACAAATTGCTTCTGAAGTTTTCTCTCAAGAAGCCCCTGAAAAGAGAATGTAGGGAGGGCAAGTAAATGTTCTTAGACATGGGCGTTTGTCCACTTCTGTGAGTAGCATTCAAAATTTGGTCAGTTTCTGCATAAAGGTATAATGTTTAATGTGTAGAATGTAAATGAATTTTAACAAGGATGGTGGTGTTTAGAGCTTGTTGGGTCTATGTAGGAAAACATTGGAGAGGAATTATGCTACATGTTAAATAAAGTAGAAAGGATGGAAAGAACATGATTTATCAGGAAACCATTACATACCTTTTCAAAGTGCCGAGTATAAATTATAAATAAGTTTCATAATGCTTTTTCTCTCCTGTCAGAGGTAAGAGGGAAAAGACAGCAAAGACATTATTGTGTTTTCTTTACAACTGTTATTTTAATTTCAGGCTCGGGAACCAGAACAAATTGTGACATTATATGAAGATGAACAGTATCCAGTTCATATGTCATTAGTAGAAATGGGGCTTGCAGAGCAAGATGAATGATGTAAGTGTCACTTCTTGTTTACCCGTATAGCTGGCACAAAGCAGGTGACTAATGCCCATAAAAGCACCTTTGGACTTTCCTTGATTTCTCAAAGAAGTGACAACAGAGCTCAACAAGAATCTCCTAGATTTCTTCTTCATAGGTTCCTCAGCAGTGAAGGCAAGTATCAGAAGTTCTGTAAGTGTTAGAATGCTTTGGAAAGGCTCTCGTGACCATTCCTAGTAGGAGTAGTTATGGGGATAAAGAAAGCAGAAGATAGGGGCCTCTCTAAATAACTGAAGCACATTGTATGGAATGCACATAGCACTGTTGAATAATCAAGGTCCTAGTAACCAAGTTATCAAAGTACTTAAGTAATAAGCTTACTCTGTCTTTATCCATTCACATAAAATAACAAGTGATACAGGAACTAGATTTGAACATTAAGAAAAAGTATAAATAATACACACTTTGTTTTTCAGGTATACAACCCAGAAGAAAGTTTTTTGCTGTATGCAGACCATTTCAGGCTTGTTTTTCTCAACTTGTTCTGCAATAATGCTGGTCCCTTTTCCCCCTTACATATTGAACTGTAATTGTTTGAAAAATCATTAATAAATATTTGCTTCAAATATTTTTGTTTTCCTGTGATTTTTTTAAAAGATTTTACTTATTTATCTTTAGAGGGGAAGGGAAGGAGAGAAGGAGAGAAATATCAATGTGTGGTTGCCTCTTGTGTGTTCCCTGCTGGGAACTGGCCTGCAACCCAGGCATGTGCCCTGACTGGGAATCGAACCGCAATTGTGTGATTCGCAGGCCCGTGCTCAATCCACTGAGCTACACCAGCCAGGGCTTAATTTTGAAATATTTTTGATCCATGAGAAAAACCCATTTCATGTGTATTCAGCTTAAGAAATACAGTATTATCAGTACAGTTTTAGGCACCTGTAGTAACTCTTCCCAAATCATTTTCTTTCCTGTGGAGGTGAGCACTACTGTGAATCGGGTGTTTATCATTCTTACATAGGTCTTTGTAATTTTTTGCTGTCTATGAATGCATACATAAACAAGACAAAAGTTGCTCTGTATATTTTTAACTGTCACACAAATTACCTTTAGTTTCCTATGTTATTTCTACCATTTATCTGTATTAGTATATTTTATTCACTTTCACTGTTACATTCATCTGTGCACATAATTTTATTCTGTTGGTAAAATATTTTTGGTTTGTTACCAGTTTTCTAGTATATATACTTACTGGTACAAAGTCATGGGCAATTGCTTTACAAAAGGAGGTTTTACTAGCTTACTGCATCATCGGAGTTCCTCGCCAACATGTAGTGTGGCCAGACCATTATTTGCAGTATATGGTACAAGTATAAAGGTAGCCCATTATCTCATTTGTTTGCTCAGGTCCTTTGTCCATTTTCCTGTTGTTTGCAACCATCTTACTGATTTATGGGATTTTTTTATATATTCTTCATATTAATTCTTTGTCAGGTATATGTATCTTTTCCTAGTCTGTAGCTTATTACGCTTTTTGTGGCATGTTTAGACAAACAGAAACTTCACTCGTTTACAAACCTTTTAAAGTTTCAGCTTTCTATAGTACATTATAAATCCTTCTCTATCCTGAGATAATATGTGTAATTCCTTATTTTCTTTGAAAAGTTTTACACTTCATATTCAGTTCTTAAACCATCTGAAATGAATACATTAAGGTTTTTTAAAAAATCAAGTCATTGCCAACACTATCATTCTGCATGAAGTGACTAGACCCACCTATAATCATATAAATTTAGGTGTAGATGACTTGCCCTTCCTTCAAGAACATCCTTCTGTCACCCAGCCGTCTCATAAATCATAACAGTCTAGCATCTGTGGCCCATCAGCTCTGCCCCTCCATTCTCAAGTGTCACATTTCGACCAGTTAGAGCATCACCTTCATCATAACTACGTTCTCCTCACTCTTGAGTTTATCTGTACTCATAGAATGAACAAGCTCTTCTGTTTTACCTTCCCATTCCATTACAGATAAAGAACTTCTATAACAGATAAAATGCTTCTGTCCTTAGGCATTTCAAACATTATTAAATGCTATAAATTTTATTTTATATTCCAAGCATAATCTTTTCCATTTATACATATATATATACACACAGAGTACATATATATTAAACCACACAATCACTAGAAATATATACTTTTTGAACAAGAAAATCAAGGTAGTATTATTTCATGATTAGTCACACACAGGAGCATTACAACTTTGTATCCATTAGAACATTACCATCCTTGTCTTTAACTCTTACTCGACCAGATGTGTATTTTGTTTCTTGATGACCGTTTGCATAGACTGTTTTAACAGTGCCATCTGGATACTCCCGTCTCTTGAACTGAGGAGTGTGTATTTCTCTCTGGCCATTATTAAACTCTATGATTTTGCTGCCATCTCTGTAAATTTAAAACAGAATTTAATTTCTTGTTCTTTCCTCTGCAAAAAACCCTTCCACAGTGTTGCTGCTGTAGGTAGATAATTCCAATTATCAGATTAGCACTTACATGTACCCATAAAAAAGCTTTCTTTTTAAATAAATTGTTGCTTTCATCACAAAATGCTTCAGTTTTTCTGCTTTTTAAAATTTACATGTATTCTGCCTCTAAAAAAAACTTAGGTACTGTATGAAAATACAGCTATCAGGTTTGGCAGTTAGTCTCTTCACAAAAGCCACATGAGTGCGTGTCTGCATCAGCCTGGATGAGGGAAGGAGAAGTATGAGACCCGAGGCCAGTTCTGAAGCAGAACATGAAAAATAGTTAATACCAAGTTGACTGCTTGACATTCACACTGGGTCCAAAATACAGACAGATGAGTGCAGATGAAGAAAGACTGGTCAGGAATTAATACCTGAAGATGGAGACAGGTGTCCATGGACTCTTTATATTATTATTATTAATTCCTCATATTATTTTTTCTACCTTTTACTGTAGAAAACTTCAAACATTCAAAATATAATATACATATAAGGTTTTTCCCCAATTTTGGAACTGCTACTAAATAAGCACCAGATAAAGTTAAAAACAGTATCACGACCATAAGAAGTCACTACATTATTTGAATTAGTGTTTCTACTTCCAAGTTTACGTCATAGAATTCAAGTCAGTTTAATTTATCTGTGATGTGTTAGCTGTATTCAAGTTAATGGGTGCTTAACTGTCAGTCTGGGAGAGGGAGGTTAACAGATCTTCACCACAATTTGAATTAAAATGGTGATACAAGATGCTCATTACTACGGAGTGAAGAAGTCACTTAAAGAAGTCTCTAAGTTCTGGAACTAGGACACTCAAGAATAAAGGTTGATTTTAAAGAACAGGATCAGGGTGGCCAGAGGAAAAAAATACTTATAAGGTGGGCAGAGAGGTCAAGAAAATGAAAGCATAAGCACCCTGGCTGGGTGGCTCAACTGGCTGGATGGAGCATCACCCCATACGCCAGAAAGTAGCAGGTTCAATCCCCAGGTGGGGCACATAGGGGAGGCAACCCATAGATGTTTCTCCTGCCACCCCACCCCCCACCCCAGCTCCTTTCCTCTCTCAAATCAATAAACGTCCTTGGGTGAGGATTTTTAAAAAAAAAATGGTCATAGGATTATCTATCCCTAAAACTGACAGGGCAGCTTTTCCTTCTGTGTCTCATTCACTACTTTCAAATTTCACCAAATTTATTTCTAAGCAAGTACTTGCCATTATCCTTTCCTGAAGTGCTATACAGGTCCTTTTGGGTCTTGAGGCTAAAGACTATGTATTAGGATCTGTTTCTCTCAAACTAGTTCTAATTCCAAAATGCTGAGAATACTTCTCACCAGCTGTGTCTATCTTTGCTCACTTCTAAACTCACTGAAATTTTCAGTGATTTATACAAATGTAAAATTTTAAAAATTCAACTGGTAATAAAAGTTGAACCATAAAAACTGGAAAAGGTACAAACAAATATAACAGGCATCATACCGTTGTACTCTGATGATTGTACCATCTGGGAAAATGCTTTCTTCTTGTCCATCAGCAAATAAATTTTTGATAGTCTGATCAGGAAATGTGATTTCTTTTCTTCCATCTGGGAAATGTTTTTCTGTTTAAAAATAATTATTATAAATATTTTATTTTTAACAAAAGAGCAAAATTTAATAAGAAAAAGTTAGGGCAAGTTTTTACCTATCTGTCCACTTGAGAAATGCAGGACTTCTAGTCCCTCAGGGTAAGTGGTGTGGGTGGTCTGAGCAGCTGCGTAGTAGTAGATCTGTAAAGAAGCAGAGTCACTATGCCTTTTCTTTGAGATGTTTACATCACAGAGAAAACCAGCCCTGAGGAAACCTACCACTCTCTCATCTGGCATGACCTGCTTCACATCACCATTGAAGAAAGTGACAGTGATATTCTTTCCATCTGCACTCACTTCTTTCTGGGTTCCATTTGGAAACAGTACAACACGGCGCCCATCCTCATAAACCTTTTCTATCTACAAAACAGAAACCCATTATTAATACACAAGATTTCCTCCTGAGATGACACTGACAAAAAGTCCCTCATTTTCTTCCTAATTGCCTACTTGGAAATTTTTCACAAAAAATAAAACATTCTCTCAAAAGGAGAGAAAAGTTAGTAAACTTACCAACTTCAAGTATCAACACATCACCAACCTTATGTCACTTATTACCCCCCCAACAAACTCATTCGGTAGAGGTTTTTTAAAGCACACTGGTGACACTATCTATAAACACTTCAATAAATATCTGTAATGAAAGGATTTTTATTAACCACCAATACTGTTTTCCCTAAATTTACAAAAAAAGGCTTTTTTACAGTTCATTTGAATCAGGATCAAAACCAGGTCCACATACACTTAGTTGATATGTCTCTTAAATCTTAATTTTCAACAGTTACCCCTATCCCCCTTTTCCATACCAACTATTCAAGGAATTGTGTCATGGCACATGTAAAATTTCTCACATTCTAGGTTCAGCTGATTGCTTTCCAATGATGGTATGTATCGTCTAACATGTTCATAGCCCCTGTATTTACTAAAAAGACTGGTAGCTGGATCTAAAGGCTTGATTAACTTCCAGTTGAATTATTCTGACAAGACTACTTTGTAGGTGCTGTTCTGAACTTTCCATGGCCACATGTTCAAAAGTACAGTATACAATATCCCTCTGACCACAGCACTGATTGGGTCACAGTAGGTCTGCCATGAAGCCCATCAACCTTTCACCTAGAGTTTCAGGAGTCATGACTGCTGCCTGATCCTTTTCTTCTTTGGAGGTTGCAATCTGATGATTCCCTGATTTTCTCACCCCTTTCTGTACTAGCAGGAATTCTTCTACAACAGAAAAACTTTCCTCACCAACAGTGTGTTACCGTAAGGTAGAGTTGCACAGGAAAAGTCTGCTGACTTCTTTTTGACTTGTTCTTTGTCCTTCCCTCATTTCCCAACATTACCAGTGAACTCTGGCCTTATAATTTCAATTAAAATGGACCAGATCAGGGAATTTGGAAGTTACTTTTCTATAAACCTAAGGAAAAATTCCCATGTCACCTCCCCAGTAACAAACTCTGTTTATGTCCCCTCCACTCTCATTCCCCCTTCCAACTGGAACGCCCAGCCAGGCAGCAGCTTTCCTACTCCCAACCTCCCTAAGCTCAGGGAGAGAACTGCACGCTGACAACAGAGACAGGCGCCTGATCCAGAACACTGTATTTAAGAAAGCCTGCAGATAGAGTAAGGCTTTCCTCAACACCTAAAGCATTTAGCTGTGTCTGGAGGAAAAACAAAGGGTTTGGGGAAAGGGACTATATTCTTCCTTTTGCTAAAAATGGCAATTAATGCATGTTGAGCACTTTTAGATGAGTCCAAAAAATCAGGTTGAGGTCATACCCAAGGTACTAACATTCTTAAGCCCCCATCAACAGTCTTAAACTATTTTAGAATCTAAGCATTTCAATTCTATTTTAACCCATTTTTATTTTTACAGTAGTCATTATTTTTTAAAACAGTCTAACCTTTCCATCAGGGTGACTGATTTCTCCCTGAATTTCTTTTTTATCCTCTTTTTCATCCTCTTTATATTCAGGATCTGGGAGATCCACTGATTCAGGGGGTTCCCTGGGCGAGGCAGTCTGTAAGGACAAGAGGTCTCAGCTGTCCCGAAAGACTTGTAATAACGTGTCAGGCAAGATAAAATTTAAACTTATTTCCAAAAGCCATTTCCTAGTATTATAGGATCTACTACTAGTGTTTGGTGTTATATAGAAAATATGCACAATGTTAAATAAAAAGCCTCCTTTATAAATAGTTTAGAAATACATCAGTTAACTAATTAATTTTAAGCCTGAGTCATCTATGTTTGGATATATGAAAATGTAAAGAGATTTACTTGTCCCTTATCTGAAATGCATAAATCACGAGACGGCACAGACTTGGATCTCCGAGATGGATTGCCTGTTAGAATACAATTGTCAGAGTTAGTTTTAATATTTAATTGAAAGTTTTAAGTTTACTTAATACTATAGTGAAGCATCTACTTAGTTCATATCCTTTTGTGAACTGCTATTACCCATTAATTAAGGAAGTTTTAATGTTTTTCTTTACTAATTCATAGGAGTTCATCATAGAAGTTCAAATACTTACTCAGGTACTTAAGTCCTAAGCAACCAAGAAAGACAAAATCAGTATTTGTTCCCTGAGAGTTTACAATCCAGAGGAAGACAGGTGCTCTCAACTAGCCTCACAGACCCACAGGGCTGTGGAGATAATCACAAGAACTTCAGGTAGAGAGTAGGACTGGGGAACAGGTAATAGAGGCACCCACAAAGACACACAGAATTTGGCCTGAAAAATAACTGGATGTTTAATTAAAATTTAGACCTAATAGCTGTAGTCTATAAACTTTTTATATCATGATCAACAAATCAATCACATACTGTATTACAAATACATATTATAAAAGTAAGTATACACACATCACTACTACCACCATACACCAAACTAGGTGAATTTGGTGAATTTTCTTCACCAAATTCGAGGTGAATTTTTAAAGTTTCTAATATTTTTTAAAATTCTAATATTTTCTTCTTATATGTTAAGCCATATTACTGGGTTGGCCAGAAAGTACACTTGGTATTTCCATAAGAGAGCTCTAGCACTTGGTTGTCTTCAACGTTATCAGAAATAATTTTGTTACTTGTATTGTCACACCTGTCATTACAATGTGCATTTAAGAAAAAAATCAAAGTTGGTGAATTTTTGTGTAGCCATTTTACTATTGAAGATGGAAGAAAACAGGCAACATTTTCAATATTTTATGCTTATTATTTCAAGAAAAGTAAAAGTGCAACCAAAATGCAAAGATTAGTGCAGTGTATGGAGAAGGTGCTGTGACCAATCAAACATGTGAAAAGTGGTTTGCGAAGTTTCATGCTGAAAACTTCTCACTGGATGATGCTCCATGGTCAAGTAGACCACTTCAAGTACACAGTGATCAAATTGAGACACTAATTGAGAACAATCAATGTTCTACCATGCAGGAGATAGCTGACATACTCAAAATATCCCAATCAACAAGTTACTGGTGAAAATGAAAAATTTACAAAAGAAACTAAACAGAATTTTTGGTCAACCCAATATAAATAACCCCAAATTTGAAGGGTGTTGAGCAAGTGCAAATTCTGACTTACATGTGAAAACTAGAATGGATGCTGAATGCTATGAGGAGAACAGACTAGAGGAGACTGAAGGCAGAGTCAGGAGACTGGGAGGCACGTGAGAAGGTTTTGATAGCACCCATGAAGGCAGAAATGACTCGAGTGCACCCATAAAGGCAGAAATGTCTCGAGTGCACTGTGTCAAATCATCGATTCATAGGTCTGAAACTGGTATTAGCAATTCCATATGGCCTAACCTACTTAATCACTTCAGAAAATAACATCAGAAGGATTACTTCAGGAACTGATAAAAGTGAGGTAACAATAAAAAGGAATCAGGAAGTACATATGTTTTGGCTTGAGCAAAGAGGTGGATTGGTTCTGGAAATAAACAGTGTGTTCTGTTTTAGAATTTGACCAAGAACAACTTCCCCGACCTGATAGGTGAAAATAAACGTACAGCTTTGCGTTACATCATTTCTAAATTTTATACCCACTTACCATAGAAAAGACTAATGACCCCATTTTATAGGTGACGAAATCAAGGCTGAGAGAGAGATTAGATAACCAGGGTTGTCAACTAATGAAAGGCAGAACCAGGATCTGCGCAGTTAAACCCAAATTGTTCAAAACAACTGTATATTCAATCTGCAGCTGGGAAGCTGCATATGTGGAAAGCAGACTTAAGTTATACATGGATAATTGACTCTACAGGCAGTTGGCACCTCCTAAACCCCACACTGTTCAAGGGTCAACTGCATAGAAACAATGCTGTTAGAAGAGGAAAGGGAACTAAGATTTCAAAAGAGTAAAGAAAGCCAAATAAGGGCTACCAAATTCCATTCAGAAGGCAAACATTTGAATAGCTGGTATTTCAAAAGAAAAGAGGGAGAATAGAGCAGAGTGCTTATTTAATTTTAAAAAATTAAAGTTAATATTTAATTTAGAAAATAATAGCTGAGAATTTCTCAAACCTTGGGAAGGACTTGGACCTACAAGTCTACAAAACTAATACAACAACCTATAATCTCAATGCAAAAAGAGCTCTCCCAAGACACATTATAACAAAACTGTCAAAAATCAATGATAGTAAAAGACTCTTAAAGGCAGCCAAGAGTGGGGAAAAAAAAGGTAACCTACACAGGAACCCCTTTGGCGAGAAGTGGATTTCTCAGTAGAAACTCTGAAGGCCAAAATAAAACAGAATAGCATATTCAAAGTGCTAAAATATAAAAACTGCCAGCCAAGAATACTTTATCTGGCAAAATTATTCTTGCTGAGAGGAAGGATAAATAAAGGCTTTCCCAGACAAAGGCTAATAAGCAAGATCATTACTACTAGACCTGACTTGCAAGAAATGACTGAAAGCAGTTATGCAAGCTGAAACAAAAAGACACCAATGAGCAACATAAAAACATACCAAAGTACACAACACACTGGTAAAGGTGAAAATGGATAATCAGATGTAGGAACTCTGTAACAGGATGATGGTGTATTAACCACTTATAAAGGTTAAAGAAAAAGTTTTAACTAGAACTGATAAAGGAATTGAGTAAAGTACCAGGATTTAAAGTAAATATCCAGAAATCAGTTGCATTTTTATACCCCAATAATGAGCTTCCAGAAAGGGATACTAAGAAGACAATCCCATTCACAATTACTTCAAAAAGAACAAAATACCTAGGAATAAATTTAGCCAAAGATGAAAAAGACTTGTACTTGGAAAATTATAAGATAATGAAGGAAGAAATGGAAGATACAAATAATTGGAAGCCTATAAAATCTTCATTTGTAAGAACAATTAACATCATTAAAATGTCCATACTATCCAAAGCACAGGTGAACAACAGGTGATGTGGGGAAGCGTGGGGTGGTGAACACACAATACAGTGTACATGTCCTGTGTTACGGAACTGTGCACCTGAAATCTGTGTAATTTTGTTAACCAGTGTCACTCTAAGAAATTCAATAAAAAGGGAAAAAAATAAAAGAAAATGTATTAAAAATAACCATGGCTACTAAAATTTGTTAACAAATACACAACATAAAAGAGGTAAATTGTAATACTAAAACAAAAGGAGAGAAGTAAAGGGGTGGAGACTTTACTGCAGCAGTTTAAAGGTGAAAGACAGAAGTTGCTGTCACCATAGAACTGACTGTTATCTATGTCTCATGTGAGCCTCATGGTGACCACAAGCAAAAACCTATAGTAGAACCAAGAAACATTAAAAATAGGGTGGAAAGAGTCTATGCCATTGAAAACCACTGATTTACAAAGGTAGACAAAAGCAGAAGGAAAAAAGGAAGAATAGAAATACAGCCCTGGCTGATACCAGACTTAGTGGATTGAGTGCCAGCATGTGAACCAAGGGGTCACCAGTTCAATTTCCAGTCAGGGCACATGCCTGGGTTATGGGCCAGGTCCCTGGTGGGGGGCCCATGAAAGCAATCACACATTGATGCTTCTCTCCCTCTTTCTTCCTCCCTTCCCCTCTCTCTAAAACTAAAATCTTTTTAAAAAAATTACAAAACAACCAGAAAGCAATCAATAAGATGGCATTACTTAAGTCCTTTACCTATCAATTATTAATTAATGTGAATGGATTAGAGTCACCAATCAAAAGGCACAGTATGGCTAAATGGATTTTAAAAACCATAGAAAGCAAAACTGGATAAGAGAAAACTGTGGTAATAGGAGGGGACTTCAACACCCTACTTTGCAAAAAACATAATATCCAGACAGAAAATCAACACACAAATGTTGGAACTGAACCACACTTTTGACCAAATGAATGTGACAGACACATAGAGAACAGTCCGTCCAATAGCAGCAGGATACACATTCTTATGTGCACAGGGAATAGTCTCCAGGAACTGGACACAAAACAAGTCTTAACAAATTTTCAAAGATCTTTAAATTATTTCATAATTTCTGACTCCTATGGTATGGAATTAGTAATCAACATTAAGAGGAAGTCTGGAAAATCTACAAATATAGGGGGAGTAAACACATCTGAAAAACCAATGGGTCAAAAAATAAATTAAAAAGGAATTTTTTTTTTAAATCTCGAAATAAAGGAAAATGGAAACACAACATACCAAAACCTTGGGATGCTACAAAAGTAGTTGTGAAGGGAAAGTTTATAATGATAAATACATCTTTTAAGAAATTAGATCTCAAATAAAAAAACTAACTTCACACTTCAAGACACTAACAAAAAAAAGGGACAAATTAAGCCTAGATTTAGAAGTAAGGAAATAAAGACCACAGTGGAAATAAATAGGAGACCAATAAAAAGTCTTTTAAAAACAATAGAAAGAATCAACAAAACTAAGAACTGGTTTCCTGAAAAGATAAAATTAACAAACCTTTAGCTAAACTAAGAAGAGAGAAGACTCAAACATAAAAAATTAGAATAGAGCCCTGGCTGGTGTAGCTCAGTGGATTGAGTGTGGACCTGGGAACCAAGCAACCATGGTTCGATTTCTAGTCAGGGCATATGCCTGGGTTGCAGGCCAGTTCCCATCAGGGGACTCACAAGGGGCAACCATACATTGATATTTCTCTCCCTCTCTCCTTCCCTTCCCCTCTAAAGATAAATAAATAAAATCTTAAAAAAAAAAAGAATAAATGCTAATAAAAAGTAAAATTCTTTTAAAAAATTAGAATAGAAAAAGGAGACATTACAACTGACACTACATAAATATATAGGATTACAAATCACTACCATGAATAATTATATGCCAAGAAATTAGTTAACTTACAAAAAAAATTCCTAAAAACAAGGAACATGACTG